TAAATCCAGTATAGGAAAATTATCCAGGTCACCCTCTTGATTTCTTATTTGTATATCCCTCTTAATTATTAAGGCATCAGCTGGTTTCTTTTGTATGTCCAGTGTAATACCTTTTACCATGTCATTCTTGTAGCCTATCATTTTTAAATCCATTTTCAAATCAGTCACAATCTTGCCAGGTAAAACTTGTTCCTCTTCCATAATTTCCTCCTGGGTAAGCAGGGGTCAGAGAACCTTTTGCAGGTGTGTGCATAGGAATTTGCTCAGCATCTGTTGGACAAAGTTGTTTGGATTCACTCTCAGTTGGACACTGGCCTTGTTGCAGGTCCAGTGGAGATACCTAGGGAGGAGTCTTGCCCTGTTATCTGGGAACAGTGAACCTGTTGGACCTGAGGAAGTGGACAGTGTCCTTAGGGCTGTGAGCTCAGCCACCTGCTTCTTAGATCCATGCCACCCCTGGCTGGTTAAAGCAGCCCAGGGGTTGTCATGTGAGTGGTTTGTAGTGATGATTAATTCTTCCTTGAGTGAGGGGGTTTTCCTTTACCTCTTAAAGAGGCCTTGGTTCACCCCCTGCTCAAGAAGCCATCGCTGGACCTACTATACTGGACAATTTTCATCCAGTATCTAACCTCCCCTTTTTGGGTAAGGTGATTGAGAAGGTGGTTGCGCAACCGCTTTAGAGGACTTGGAAGCAGCAGATTATTTGGATCCCTTTCAGTCAAGATTCAGACCTGGGTATGGGACAGAAAGAGCACTGGTCATCCTTTTGGATGATCTCTGGCAAAGACAGGATGGGGTTGTGCACTTGACCTCTCTGCAGCTTTTGATACCACCAACCATGGTATCCTTCTGGATTGGCTCAGGGGATTGGGGGTGGGTGGCACAGTGCTGTGCTGGTTCACCTCCTTTCTTTGGGGCCAATTCCAGTTGGTGGTGGTTGGGGAGAAGAGATCCCACCCTCAGCCCCTACTATATGGGGAGCTGCAGGGTTTGGTGCTCTCCCCTCTCCTATTTAACATCTACATGAGGCTGCTGGGTGAACTCATACGTCTCCATGGGGTGAGGTATCATCAGTATGCTGATGATACCCAAGTATACATCTCTGCCTCTGGCAAATTAAACAATGCTGTGAATGTCTTATCCAGGTACCTGGAGTCTCTGAGGATCTGGATGGGGAATAACAGGTTTCAGCTGAACTCTGGCAAGGTTGAGTAGTTTTGGGTTTTGGGGCCTTCTTTGGGGCCATAGATAGGACTATGCCATCTTTGGTGCTGCCCCAGATAGACCTGGTGTGCAATCTGGGGGTCCTCCTGGACTCATGACTCCTGTTCAAAGAGCAGGTGGCAGTCATGGCTAGGAGGGCTTTTCACAGCTTCAGGTTGTGCACCAGTTGCGCCCATTCCTGGATCGGGGGGCTCTGCTCACTGTCACTCATGCCCTAGTCATCTCCCAATTGAACTTCTGTAATGCGCTCTACATGGGGCTGCCTTGAAGAGTATCTGGAAGCTTCAGCTAGTACAAAATGCAGCAGCACAGGAAGTTATGTATGCCCCTAGAATGGCACATTACACCTTTGCTCCACAAACTGCATTGGTTGCCAGTTTGCTTCCGGCTCCAATTCAAGGTGCTGGTTCTAACCTTTAAAGCCCTTCATGGCATGGGGCCAGGTTATCTGAGGGACCACCTCTCCCCGATTATATCTGCCCATCCCACCAGATCTGGCAGAGAAGGCATGCTGCGGGTCCTGTCTGTCAAGGAATTATACTTGGCGGGCCCCAGGAGGCAGGCCTTCTTTGTCGTGGCGCCTGCCTTATGGAATCTTCTCCCCCTGGAAGTGAGGTTAGCTCCATCCCTCTTAACATTCCTCAGATCCCTCAAAACCTGGGTATGCCTTCAGGCCTGGTCCGGGGAGATCTTGCAATGGCTCCCTTACTGTGGCTAACATCATCCTCTTTTGTTTTTGTGTTTTTAAAATAGTTTTTAAAAATGAATGTTTTTATATATTTATTTTTTTTTAAATTAAGTGTTGAACACTGCCCAGAGTCATTTTTTTGTGAGATGGGTGGGTGGCCATACAAATTTGATACAGACAGACAGATTAGATGACATCTTTTAAACACAGTCTATCTATAGAGGCAGACATTCTTAAAATTAACTTCTGGGTCCACTGTTCAAAAATATCCTTCAGTATGTCCGATGTTAAAATATTTTGCTTCATTTTGTATTTGTAAGTTGAATGTAAGCGTTCTTCTCCTATAATTGTAATCTTTAGTTCCTTCTACTTCCCTCTAGTCTCCAAATTTTTAAAGTCTTATCTGTTTGTTTGTTTTTTTAAGAATTCAAAATAAAAGCATTTTCCCACTGGAAGGATTCTTATAATTAATTCCAAAATCTTATTTCAAATTTATGTGGACCTTTAATACATTTATAATTTTCTAAAATCAAAACTTTAATCACCCTTTTGTGGTTTATTCCAAAAAAAAATTTTTTTTAAGTCCTTAAACTTGTATTTAACACTTTTTTTTTTTGCTAAGGATTAAAGGAAACTCACCCAGTGTTTTCAGATTTGTCCATCCAAAGGTTCCTAATAGCTAAAAAGCAGTTAATAAGCAATTTCCAAAAGTGATTAGAAAAGGAAGTATGTAAACTTAGTGTCCTTTCAAAGGCGCCGACCACAATTTGAATGAGATGGTTATTCCCTTGTCTCCCAGAGCTATAAACCCACCGGAGACCGCTGTCTTGCAGCTTCCTCATGAGCAGCAGCTGTCTGGAGCACTTGTGGGCAATCTCAAGTCCTCTCCTTGTCCAGAGAGGAATTA